GTAAATAACTGATAGTCATGCGTTTGTAGTTATCATACTAATGCAAACACACCCCTCGTACAGTCGGCGTCGGCGTGGCGGAACTAAATGATTCGTCAGCTGTTACTAATGAAAAGGGGATCCGTTCAACTTGCGTGATATGCGCAGGTCATAGTTGACACTTGATTGCAACGATCGGCATTTGCGATAGAAAATATACGTCATCTTTTAGAGCTTTCACATTAGACGACAACACTATAAGCGTATCGATGAAGAGACGGGATTTTAAGCTTCATTTGGACGTAGTTAAGCAAAAAGGATCCAATCCACAAAAAATTAATTAATATGTACCTAATGGTTCCTAAAGTCTAACCTCTTAGATCAGCAAAAAAAGCCAACATATAAACATAAATAAATATCTTCGGAGTTTCATGACATTATAAGATTTGAAAATAAAACAAGAGTGAGAAACACTTTGAAACTTCAAACTGCCATATCTCGAAAGTGACTGGATGTGCATTGGATCCTTTATGTTTAACTACGTCCATTTATGATAGCAAATGACGGGACGACTAAGTTGTGTGCCTGGTCGTAAGCGACACGCCTAACAATTGCAGTATCGAACCTCTAAATCGCAAAGGCCTGAGAGCCACTGCCACGGCTCCCGTCATCCTGAGACATAAAGCTGATCGATCGTGTGCCTGTAGTTTCTTCTACACACTTCGAAACCCGAATGCATATTTATGTTTGACCGCTGAAATTTGATACGGCAGTACTTCCTTTCCTCTTTCACGGGAAGCTCTGCTGCTATTAAAGTATTTAAATTATTTAAGGTGTAATTTTCGACTCACGTTGAGTGTACATTTCACGGTGTTGTCCATCGTGCGTACGTATCACACGAAAGACAAACATTTTGCTAAAAATGTTGCGGAATGTAAATACTATTTGTGAGATCTGTAAATCTTTGTCAACATGCATTGTTAATGGTACAGCCATTTATGGTATTTTATATAGGGTATGCCTGAATAACACAGATTGAAGTCCGCCTTTAAAATAGTATTTTGTCAGTATTTAGTCTGTACTAGGCATTGACTTACAATTATATGGACGTCGGGTCCGCGCTAAAAAGTGTCCGAACTTATAGGGCGTTAAAATCGTATACAGAGCGTCATTCACGCTTTAGTCTTCGTTTGTTCGACTGACAGCGAAGCAAGCAAAATTAGACAGTACTGCGATGACATTACAATTTAAATTCAGCGTTTTAGCTTTTTCATATTCCTTTACATGTCACTACGTTTAAAGAGGTTGACTTGGGACATTTTTTTCGTGGTTTTTGTATTAGACCCGTCGTCCATTTATTTGTAAGTCAATGGTACTAGGCATTTCAGACACTACCATTCTACCTCAGCATCAACTGCAGCGGAAGCAACATCAGTCACTTGCGAAATATCAGACCGGTCGCACAACATAAACCATTGCAATCGTAAAGTTACTCAGCCCCTCAAACCACAACCCCCTATAGTTAACCCTGCTGACTCAAGCTGCCCCAATTGAATTGCCCTCGGCTACCGCGTCCGGCCTATTGTGCCTGTGTGACTGCGACCGCCTGTTCACAATGAACACAGTTTTGACAAATCACGTCAACGTACAATCATTAGTATTTCAATAATTTCTAGGATTGTTTGGTGAATAAACTTTGTCCCTTAGAATAATAACGCATAGAATGATAGTTTCATATCAAACGAACTGTCACAAGTGAGGCAAAAATCAAATTCATGTAGGCTAGTTATAGTAGTAGGTTAATTTTCTGTTTTAGTGAATATTTATATAAAAATACAAGTTGAAACGCGTTACTTCCTTGTGGAATATGATGTTAGTATCTATTTTATGTTTGTCTGACGTATTTTTACACTAATTTACCGCACATTTCGTCATTTTTAGCTAAAATTTTTGATCTGTTCGCGGTGCAAGTTGACCTTGAGCACTGAAGGCCCGCCCGCTCGTGTAGGCCCATTGGGCGCGCTTCAATTTGCCTCACTTAACGTGTGCGGACTAGGTTTCTATGCGTTATTATTCTAAGCTTTGTCCCTTTTAAACCTGAGTGGCAAAACATATTTTGAAGGTTGCTTTTGTAAATAACACTACGTCAATATTGGTCGCAGTTAACGTCTAACACACTTTGGGTTCTTCGGGATGTGTATGGTTAACGTACTATATTGGACTTTGATTTGCTGCAATCATCTGCTGCCAAGTAGTAATATGAGCATTACTGCGTTCCGGTTTTGAAGGTTACTGGTGAAATTACAGGCACTTGGGACTTGTCAACGTATATCTCAGAGTGACGGGCATTTTACTAAATTTTGATACTGCACAGTCATCACCAGGTGTTGGTTTCGTGCTCACGTTTCGATCAGTTTCGGTTTCCGCATCCGGCCGCTAAGCGGCTGTCGCACGCTAACCATCGAGTTAACCGTGTTTACCAGGCGGTAGACACGACTGCTGTTTACAACAAAGTAATTCCAGTAAAAAAAAACTAAAAGTTGCATCCAAAACGGGATATTACGAGGGTTGTGTAAAACCGTAATTATATTCACACTTTGTTAAATATAACAAAAAGTAACCCTCTACCCGCCTCGCTAACCTGCGTTCAACGTTAACAGGGGTTGGTATTAATTACTGTAGCTTCGGTTAGGGTAGCTACTACTAGCTAGCGGTTAAAATACGTTGTAAAAAAGTAACTTTCATGCGTTTATTTGACACTAGATATCATAACTTAAATAATTATACCTTTTTTGTAAAAAAAAATAAACAAAGTATAAAAGTTTTCTTCAAATTTAAATGGAACCAAAACTGAGGTACTCTCTTTTCTAACAAAAAAAGAATCATTAAAATCGGTTCACAAATGTGATACTAACAGCGTAACATGCACACAAAAATATTTTTTTCTGTGTTATGTAGACCCCACGTTACGCCAATAGGTTTTTTTTACAAATTCATCAATATGTGTTTTTGACAACTGACACAGTCCTACTCACTTTGATAACGTTAACTGTAGGGTGAGAAATTTTATAAAAAAAACACATGTTGACTATTATACATTTACCTAACCGAATATAGCTCCATATTTTATCTTGTTTCTTGTCAAATGTTTACTTCGTAGTTAATTTTCATGTCTATTGTAAAAAAGAATTATGTAATAAGTACCTAAGTACATAAGTATTAACTAACTGCCTCCGTGGCCGAACGGTTACCATGCCGGACTGCCACGCAGAGGTCCCAGGTTCGATTCCCGGGCCGGGAGAAATATTTGTATGGCCTACAATTATTTCTCTCGTGAGTTTGGGTGTAATTTGTGGTTGTCTATATGTGTGTCCATGGCACCCGCGACACAGGGTTTCCCTAGTGCGGGGCTATGTTGAGTGTGTGCGTTATTTATTTAAAAAAAAAAGAAAAAAAAATTACACTTACACAGATAAGGTGTATTATTCCATTTACAGAAAATCAAAATTTTGTTTATGACCAGAGATGGGCAAGCGCCCGGCTTTTAACTTTGGTAACGCCGGGTTTAAATCGGCTTAAAACCCATTAATGCCCGAAATCGAGGGCAAAAACTATTTACTGGCCATAACTAAATATTATTTTATTTAACGGAAGATCAATAGCTTAAAACTAAATTAAATAGTATTAATAACAACTGAGAGCCAATTAAAAATACTCACAAGCAAAAATATAATAAGGAATTTGGGTGCACAATTTACCTAACTTATTATATAAAACTTAAAGAAAAACCACAGCAGTTGAAAACCTCACTAAGAGACAAAGAAGTGCTGACTCAGTGCTCTCATTGCCGAAATCACACTCGTATTGAAAAGATCCAGATCAAAAGTATTACATAAAATCATTGACTTACAAATAAATGGACGACGGGTCTAATACAAAAACCACGAAAAAAATGTCCCAAGTCAACCTATTTAAACGTAGTGACATGTCAAGGAATATGAAAAAGCTAAAACGTTGAATTTAAATTGTAATGTCATCGCAGTACTGTCTAATTTTGCTTGCTTCGCTGTCAGTCGAACAAACGAAGACTAGAGCGTGAATAACGCTCTGTATACGATTTTAACGTCCTATAAGTTCGGACACTTTTTAGCGCGGACCCGACGTCCATATAATTGTAAGTCAATGCATAAAATGTTAAAATTATTGCTTGCACGTCACATAGACCGTTTTGCCTGTAATTAGTTCGGGCCGGAGGTAGAACCAAAAGTGAACTGTTTCTAAGATACTTAGAAGGAACTTTTAATGATATATTTGTAATAGCAATTCAGAACAGTCAATAGAGCCCGATGCTATTTTTTATAAAAACTTTAAGTCACTAATATCACGACGAATTTCAAATGGTAGGAGATGATGCTTCCTACAGAGGTTGCTTAATTAGCAGAATTGTAACTGTCATTTGTTCGATAGCAGAAAAAACGAATAAACTTTTTTTGTATATTTAATAAACAAATATTTGTTGTAAATCGAGTTTTGTTTAAATGGCATGCATATTATTACAAAATATTTATTGCTTTCTAATCTAGATGATTCGATTTGCCTTTCTATGGAATCGATTCACTTGAGAATCGCATTGAAATAAATCGATACAAAAAATCGTTAGATCGTATGCACTTGAATCGATCTTCATAAAAATCGAATCGTAATGTGCATTCTTAGTCGTGAGAATCCACAGCATTGTAAGGTGGGTATTGTATGGAATTTTTGATCGTCTTTTTCGTCTTAAAAATGTATATTTTTTTCCAATTATACCAAATTCCTTATTCGCCGTTTCTGCCCACGATTTTGCAGAAATTGGTTTAAATAGTTTTGAGTAATAACCCGGTTGAAACACGGGCGGTTTGCTTGGGTTTTAATCCACTGCCCATCTCTGGTTATCTATCTGCCTAAATAAATGGTCTCTTGTAGGTTGAAGTGGACCCCTTTGTGACGTCATCTTAACCCTACGTCTGCCATCGTTGCAGGTGCGAGCGTGAACAAGCTAGCGAAACGCGAGTTGGCGCCCAACAAGGGTGGCCCATTCGCCGCAGCCCTCCGTTCGCTCGCCAAGAACGCCGGCCCCGACACTAAGGATGGTAAGTGCACTGCTTGTAGATGCTGCTGTTCTATTACTGTTACGTATGGAAATAATGGTGAACACTGTACAAAAACAATATATTGCAAAGGAACCAGTTTTTAAGTCGCAAACATTTACATACAAAATTGTAAAAGCTTTTATCATATTTATAAAAAATCATATTTCCTTTATGGTTATTTTAAATTGAGTGTTTATCGTTCTTTCAAACAAATACCTTTTTCTTTAATCCTACATTTTGTTTTATTTTAAACCAACAGTTAAGACACTTGTTGGGTTTCCTACGTCCATACTGTTTTAAACGTTTGTAATGGTTGATTAGAGAGAGTAAATATAATCAATCATTCTGTCTTTCTCGCTTTCTCTCTCTCTCTCTCTCTCTCTCTGTTCAACCAATAGAAAAAGCATTTGTGAAGTAATAAATATTTTAAAAATAATTAATTAATATTAAAAGATGATGTGACAGCTCACTGAAATTAGCTGTAGAAATGACAGTTGTCAGCGTCCCGTCAGCATCTTTACTGTTAATTTTATTTATTATTTTCTATAAATTCCTCGTGAGTGTGCATTAAAATATACGTGTACGTCTTGTAAGAATATATCCAGAAGCTTTACGTGAACAATGCAACCGGGTGTCGCTACCCGGAAATGCTTACGTGTAGAGTGTCCAGGTACGGGTAGCGCGGAGAGCAAAGACAAACCGGCGCCAGCGCCGGCGCATGCGTCGCTGCCTGCGCACGCGCCGCCTGCGCCGCCCAAGCGGGCGTCCCCGCACCATCTGCCCACTAGTGGGTTCCAGCCTTATAGACCTGACGACAGGTTAGTACAATTTTATTATTAATTCACTGTAAAATCAGGTTTTCTGTTCCTCTAGCATCTCCCTATTTCAGATGCTAAGTTTACGTACAAGATCCTTGTTGTGCTGAGCTTGAGGTTCACTTTCTGCGCATTGAATACATTCTAATTCAGTCATTTCATGTCATTTCATCCCAACTTAATTAACCACAATTTTCAAGTAACTACGGCCAAGATGTCTAAGACCATACAATGTGTGTCTGCTTCAAATAACCAAAAATACATGATATTAGAGATTTTTTTTAAATGATCAAACGTTATTTTATTGGATCGGTTAAGGTGGTGGCACCAGTGACCGACAAACACCACTGTTCGATATCTTTTTTAAATTAATATCTATTAAGATTTAGGTCAAAATTTTCTATTATAATAACACGTTTCTTATTGGTAAGTGTCAATTACTGTGAGTGTCGATTACTGGTTAGTTTATTAGTGGATTTTTGGTGTTAATTACTGGAGATTTAGAAAAATTCTGGCTTAGGTTTTTTAGTAATAATTATAATATATAATTTAGCATATAATTTTATGAAACATTCTACAGCATCTTTCTAGAGGATTATATGTGTCAAATAAACTAATGACTAGTTTTGTTATGATTATATGGATACAAAGATTTCTAGAAAGAAAATTTCGTCGACCCGGTGGGACTCCAAGCCACGTCCACGCGTACCGTAGCATGGCTCTAACCATCAGAGCGACGAGTCCAGTTACCGAGTAGTCGAAATTCTCCTATGTGTTTTGTTATAGATCTTTGAGCTGTCTTTTCGGAATTCGCTCCGTTAGTGACATCTAGTGAGAGGGTTTTTTGGATAACCTTCTCACCGCAGCCTTTTTCTGTGTGTTCGATGTTTGTAGTCATATAATAATAACAAAACTAGTGCACTTATTTCACAAAAAATCTGAATAAATAATCACTATTGATATACGTTTAAAAACAAAATTATTTCAAATCTAAAGACACACTTCCTTTATTATGTCGATCATTGGTGCCAACACCCTATTCGATGATTACCGAGCTCTAACAAAATTATTAACGCTTAACGGGAAACATTCATATCCGGGATTTAATGGTTTTGAATTGGTTATATTGTGCCCTCTTGCTTCTTTGTAAAGTAATTAATCATTAACCCACTTACTAACACAATTGTAAGAAAAAAATTTTTGTAGTTGGCCGTGCCCCTCGATATTTAGCTCTGAGTGGCACTGCAACTGTTATGGACAGGCGTTTAGGTTACCATCAGGCATAATCATAGTGGGTCCTGGACTGTCATTATATTCATCTTGACTAACCGTAATTTAGGCAAAAAATGTTGAATCACATTTTTAAATGAACACAAATATTTTCCTAGTATCAGAGATACGTGACGTATTTTTTAAATATTATATAGGCAGCAAACAAGCATACGGCCCGAATGATAAAAAGCGGTCACTGTCGCCTATAAGCCAACTCTTTAGGACCCCTTTCAAATCCTTTTTGAAGGACTCGAAGCTGTATTTCTGCGGGAAAACCCCGACAGGGAGTTAATTCTACAATCTAATTATACTTGAAAGGAAGTTTTTCTGAAACCATGTAGTACGAGATCGCCTTGGTACCAGAATATTTTAACCGCTTATGAATTAGAGAGATGAAACGGGGCTCCCGTGTATCTTAAAAGACTGAAGTCTTGCCGAGGTGGTCAGTATTTTTTTTTTTTAACGCACACACTCAACATAGCCCCGCACTAGGGAAACCCTGTGTCGCGGGGGGTGCCATGGACACATACATAGACAAACACAAATTACACCCAAACTCACGAGAGAAATAAATGTAGGCTATATAAATATTTCTTCCGGCCTGGTCATCGAACCCAGGACCTCTGCGTGGCATACCAGCATGGCAACCGTTCGGTCACAGAGGCAGTTTAAATATTAGTAAAAAAAAAATATCAGATCACCATGTGACAAATGCTGATTTTGAATCTCAATGTTTAGCATTTAGAATTACTATAAATTAGTAAAGTATAAGTATACTAGACCAAATATTTTTTTTCCTCTTTCTTCAATGACTTTGTGACTTTGTGAAGACGGTGGTTAAGAATAGTCCCTCAATTTTTATTTTTCGTTTTAATGTTACATCACTATTCTCATTTTCATAAACGTAAATGTGTTGAAGAATGTAAATTTTTTCAAATTTGTTTCTTAACAGCACGCTTCTGCAGAACAAAGATTCTGTGAATGTCAGCAGTATTACCGCAAGATCTACAGATAGGGAATAAATACGTTGTTTGTAATCGTGTACAGATTGTCGCATCCCGCGGCCGCGGCGGCTTCGTTCTCTCTGCTCGAGCCCACCACATATGCGCCGTACCCGCACCCCAGCCTCTACTCCAGCGCTGCCTTGCAGTACCGGTACGTTCGCAATAATATAATATTTTTATTTTCCAGACAACAAATAGTCCAGTTTTGTTCAGTCCAGTAAATAATGTTGATTCCAATCCAAAAACTATGTCAGTAGTACTAAAAAAATAATTTACGGTCTCATACGTTCTTTGGTATAATTATGCGCACGTGGTGACGTAGTTTAGCCACGTGCTGCACTTTAATTTAAACGCGTAATTAACACTTTATTTTATATAGTACGTTACAAACTGTTCACCGATACATTACATCAAGAAAATATTTGCTACCATAACCACTGTATTTAGTGTCAATATAATTTTACCATTTTCCTTGGAAGTCTTTCTCTGCGTACTACCACTACAATACATGTATGGAATAAGGTGGTCCATACATTTTGGTCAAGGTTGATATGAACCAGCGACCTTCGGATACAATACAATTCAAAGAAAATACTTACTTTGTTATATTTCCAGACTTGGTAGAATTTGAATGCTATGAGTTAGTAATATACTTTAAATGTCTACCTATGCCACAATTTGTAGAAGTTATCGTTTTGTAGTAGCTATTTATATAATAATAATAATAATAATAATAATAACGCTCACACTCAACATAGCCCCGCACTAGGGAAACCCTGTGTCGCGGGTGCCATGGACACACACATAGACAACCACAAATTACACCCAAACTCACGAGAGAAATAAATGTAGGCCATACAAATATTTCTCCCGGCCCGGGAATCGAACCTGGGACCTCTGCGTGGCAGTCCGGCATGGTAACCGTTCGGCCACGGAGGCAGTTATTATTATTATTATTATTATGTATATGCGTCTCATTTTTGCTTCAAAATGCAAACGTACGTGACGTATATCACGACAATCAGGTCGATTAATAACTAGACTATTGTTAATACGATGTGGCACGTCATAATGTTAGTAGTACAGACACGATCCGCGAGATAGATGTCACTAGTAACAGTGTATTTTTAAGCTATTAACTACCTGAAGCTAAAAAATCTTTACTCGCGATAAGGAATTTTGTTTTTTATTCTTATTCGTGGCTGTTATGTAGTGTATGGCTAATCAGTTAATTATAACTAAAGTTGTCTATTATATGATACTTCCACCAGGAATATGATAGAGCATTTTTTCATAACCAAACATACAAATTGTAATTTCTCAAAATAGATAAAAAAATGAGTGGCAGTGATAATTAAGGGTATACGGTCACAATAAACTTATAGAAGTAGCTCACTAATCTAGTCTTCTCTATTTGCTATGCAAACCCGGTTTTTGTTTGGTATTGTTCTAACACTTATGGTGTAATTGCAGGATAGCGGCTGAAGAACAAATGTACCTGGAACGCATGTTCCGCAGCGGTGTGGGTGTGAGCTGGCTGCCCCCCTACGCGTTGTATCCCCAACTCGCTCCCCAACTGCCTTTAGTGCACCCCCATGGCCCCCACACCGGTCATCCCGGACATCCTTCCTTGCATGAGGATCGAGAGAAAGAAATCGCGTTGCAGAGGGAGAGGGAACGGGAAAGGGAACGAGAGCGGGAACGCGAGAGAGAGAGGGAAAGGTAAGTATTTTTTTAATTTAGTGTACTTAAAAGGTTGGTGGCACACTTTTCTCTGCCGGCGAGAATGAATAGCCCCATATTTGATTCTTCCCTAGACTACACCTTTCTGTTGGAAACGCCCAGTACCATTCTGACCGAGGTCCGTACTCGTCTGGGCGGGTTAAGAACCCCCTGGAGTTAAGAATCACATGTATTGCACCATTTTTTATATTTCTCAGTAAAAAGCGTGTGTTCTGTTCCAGGGAAAGGGAGCGAGAGCGCGAGCAACGCGAAAAGGAACAAAGAGAGCGAGAAAGACTCCACAGAGAGAAAGAGACCCGCGCGAGAGAGGCCCTCCGCGACGAGCAGAGAGCCCTCGCCGCGCTGCAGGCCGCGCACCCGCTGCCGCCGCACCTGCTCCCGCCGTCCGTGTACGGGCTGCCCCGCGCCCCGCTCCTGCCCCCCCCGCCTCTCCTGTACCGGCCGTACCGGCCCTACCCGGCTCCCCCCACGGCCCCGTACGAACCGTCGCCCCCTCCCCCTCGAGCGCACCTCCCCCCTCACCACCCCGCGCACCACACTCCTCCCCCCGTCTCCTCCGCGGACGTGCCTACAGCTTTAGTAACTACCCCAAAGGCACCGACTCCTACGCCAGAAGTACGAACCGTACCGGAAGCTCCACCGAGGGAGGAACCACCACCTCAAGAGGAAAACCAGCCTAAAGAAGATAAAGGTGAGGAGGAAACCTCCAAGTCGACGACTCCCCCCACGTCAACGACCAATGTACAACCGTCAACGACGCAAGCGCCGGTTTGACAAGAGTCTAATAATAACCTGGAACAGGAGTCCTGACAGTAAACGTACCTCCCAAAATACTATTAGTTCTTTTATAACATTACCCTCCGGAATAGTGACGGTTGAAAACGTTTCACTGCACCAATTATTGCGGTTATGAATATAAACGATAAATATAATCGCCGCCGACATTCAAACGCGATCTTAAATATGGGCATAAAAACTAAAGCTATAAACAACTTGACGTATTGTCATATCATCTGTGAGTGATGTTAAAATATATTTTATAATAAATTAATGTAAACACATAATCAAAGAATTTAATATCTATAAAGGTGTCACGATTTATTAGCGCTTGGTGTATAGAATCACTCGTTTTGTGAAAATAAATAAAAAAAACACATTGACGTACAATTATGTATTAATGTGCTATGCTCCCTAGTCCTTTGCTAATTAAAAAAGGAGCTTCCAAATTATTAACGCTTCTCTGCGACTGACAATTTTCCAATTGGAACAATTGTTCCTTTTATTTCTCTTCAAAAAGGTACAAAAAACGTACCAAGAAAAAGGTACAAAAAACGTACCAAAAGAAAGGTACAAAAATATTTTGTAAAAAGTCAACCGTGTTCTAACTGTAAGTATAAACGTGAATTTCCTCCTGTTATCGTTAAATCGAAGTCTGGCATTAAAATTTATTGAAAATCAAATTGGAATTGAAGATATTTACTATGGTGCACTTAATCGGTACAATTTAAGTCGTTTTAAAGGGTGACCAGTTACTTTTGGATCGTGAAACGTGGCGCTAGTATCGTTTGATATCAATGCGTCTCGAAGGTTCTTGAAGTCTGCGCAACATGACGAAGGTCCACATCTAATTTGTCAGCCTTTACTAGATATTGTTTCAAAGCAAATTACATTTTTTTAAATACTTAATAATGTCTGATTTAAAAAATGATCATAAGCGCTCTTTAATATTATATTTGTTTTCAAACAATATCCCGCAATTATGGTAAATTATGTTTTATGGATTTCTAACTTACAAATCCGCAGTATTATGCGCTGTTATACATAGATCTTTTCAAAAGGAGGGTTTTGATTTAACACTCATTTGTACATAGATATACTCGGAAACACCGCTGTCCATCTAACGTATAACGCCGAAATTCTATAAAATAAACTGTCGGTAAAATAATTGTAAAGCTGCTAATTTAAAAATCCATAAAATCGACCTCGCCATGTTTAAGAAATTGTGCAAATGTAAAAAACGAACAAGTAGTAACTGCCCGGTGCAGTCTAGATAGTGCCGATATGAAAAATTATCACTAGGATGTAAACCTGTGGTCCTTATACAACTAAGTTTTATGGAACAGCTGGCTACCGGCATGAGGCGAAACAAAAAAAAATCATTGACATTCTGTCATTTCGGCTCAGTGTTGCCAATTTATACCACGTTTTCTTCCAATTATTTGCCAAATTTGACTATGTTGCTGCTTATCTACTTTTTCTACTAGTAGCGGTGATTTTTTTTGTTTAAACGACAACACTGAAGCGGAATCCAGCATTCGCCTTACGCGGGTCACCAGCTGCTATATAGCTAGACCAGCTGACCTTTTCACTAACTTCGTGATTATTGTTCCTCAAAAAAAAACTTTTGAGGATTTTTTGTATAAAGTTACAAGTTGTGATTGGTTCTGTCATTCCATAGGGAGAATAAAAATTGGATGATGTTGGGAAATTAAATCACTTGCCATAATTACTCATGAAGTTATGAAGTAAGATCAGCGGAATCTTATACAAAATGTTCTTTCGATACAGAGCTACTGTAGTAAGTTTTCTACGAGAAGTTTACTTAAACTTATGTGTACTAAAGATAAGTATAAATCGACAAAAGGATTGGATTTTGTTGTTAAGGAATTCTAGCGGAAATTTCGTCAGAATTTCACACACGCAGTTCTACTTTGTCGCAATGGTGCGTAGAGATGAAAAACCCATCTAGACTTGTATCTAAGGCGCTTGTAATGTATTAAATTGTCACCGTGTATATGTATCTCTTTCATTTTAAAATTGTAATATTTGTAAAGCTTAATTTTTTTATGTAACAACATCTTCAAGTTTTTTGTCGATCTTGAAATTTGTTTATCCAGATTACAGCTTGAAACATAGATTTATATGGACTGCCGTGCACGTCGCTCGCGCGGGGCCTATCTATCTTAAGTAGACGTTAAGTACCGTGCAATCTGCATCGCAATATGGACCTTACTGCATTTGTGATAAGACTTGAATCCGCAGTATTCCGGCCCCGGTCGAACGAAACTTAATAATGGAAACACGCACCGCGGATTTGGAATCGCTCGTGCGATTGAGAGTGACTGTTACATCCCTACATTCTAATTAAACAATCCGCGATACGTGTTGAAAAAAAAAAGAATTAAAACATAAAAACCTCTTTGTAACTTAGATAGTTATTAATAATTTAGCATTATTAGGTGTTCAATATTATTTTTACTTGATAATTTTTGAAAGCAGCATTTAGGTCGGTCAAGTGTCACGTGTCCGAATGTAAATATTATAATTGAATAGTTAGATATTATATGGACAATACCTAACAAGTGAAGAAATACAATTTTATTGAGAATACATTCAACGAAATTAATATTTGTGCATGCGAGACCTGCGAACGTCGAAAGAGAGAACATTTATTTTGAACTCTTGCGGGGTTCGTTGGTAGTAGTTACTTTTATTTTTATTTTTACTACCCCTCCCCCTCCCTCGAAGGCTTTATAGCGCATGTAGCTAGCTATGTTGTGACATGTGTGCTATTTCAGAGTTTGATCGCCGAGAATGTTACAAAATTGATTTGCCAAGCAATGGATGTTGATCTTTAGCAGAATATTATGAAAAATCTTAGGTACCACACTAGTACAATCCACCGTCAAAATTGCAGCAGACTTAAACCGTTTGAAACAATGGTTTAAACAGCAACGCTGTAGGATTTTAACAGATAATTAGTAGAAATAGGATTTAAACGGCAACACTGACAACTATTTTGACAGGTAATTAGTAGAAAAATCGGTTTAAAAGGTAAAACCGCCGTGTTTTTGACAGATAATTGTTAAATGAAACCAACCTTATAAAACTTACGGCCTCCCCTCTGCAACTCTAAGCAGTAAGCCGAGAGGCGTCCGTATAGTCCGATATTGAATCGACAACGTACATCGAAACACACTGGCCCAAGCCTAGTGGCCGCCGTTGGGAAATAATAATATATATATATATAACTAACCTCATGACAGTTAATGTGAGGTGCATGAAAATGAAAACGATTGAAAAGTGCGTCTGAAAGTAATAGACATAGTATCATATTGACGCAGACAGGAATAACCGAAAATTATAAGAAAAGTTGCAAAATAACTTGAATCCTCTCTAAAACCGTAAACGATCAAATAATTTGTCCAATTTTACGCGTTTGGCAAACTTTTTGACCGTCTGCAGTTGTTTTTATAAATAGCATTATAAAACTGACATCCAGTTATACATAATTAAACAATAGTCATTTGCCTACTTAAGTACTCAATAGAGTGTCATTATAAAATATTTTTGTAAATAGAAGGGCGCTTGAATATATGGAGGGATTCCATTCTCTCCGCCTGTCAGTATTGCCATAAAGTCCAACCCTTAGAATAATAACGCTCCAACCATAGTCTATGGACCAATCTTAAAATATACGAAAAAACCATTGACTTACAATTATATGGACGTCGGGTCCGCGCTAAAAAGTGTCCGCACTTGTAAGGCGCTAAAATCGTATACAGAGCGCCAAACTCCGCTTTAGTCTTCATTAAAATTTGTTCGACTGACAGCGCGATACTGCGATGACATTACAATTAAAATTTCGAATAGGTTGACTTGGGACATTTTTTTCGTGGTTTTTGTATTAGACCCGTCGTCCATTTATTTGTTAGTCAATGGAAAAAACGGAAAGTTTTTGTGATATCTGAGGACGATAAAAGTTTCTCTGTCTGCAAACTTGTTCTATTTTAGACAGAAACGGAACTTTTTACTGAAGAGTTTTTTCTTTATTTTTTTAATTATTGGCACTAGATTTTCTGTTTCACCATCTTTCAACGAGACAGTTCTGACACAGCCACCAACGATATCAATAAACACAAATGTCAATAACGCAATCGCAAAAACTATCAACACGAACAAAAGCGGAGAATCCAACAATTCTGTACCTAAAACTGCACAGTCCAGACAGTAAACGGTCATGTAGTCCAATGCTTAGGCCTGGACACCGCCTTGCTCACTGCGAAGATGGCGACCGCAACAAGTCATTCGTTGATGTTACTATCGATAAAATTACAACAAAAAGCAGCAAGGATTTAATACTAGGAACTTTGACTGGATGGATTGCGGGCATGTCCCTTGTGAAAGTTGGGAAAATTGCAGCTTTTGGCCTCGGCGGAGGGATCATTTTACTACATTTTGCAAGTGAAGGGGGATACATTTCTATAAATTGGGACAAGGTCAGAGAAGCGGCTAAACAAAGTCAGGTTTTCATAGACACAACTGTTAGATTTGTGAAGAAAAACAGCTATTATTCTGTGGGGGTAATTGGTGGTTTTTTTTTCGGCGTGGCGTCGTCTTGATGAAGGTAGGGAGGAATGTCACTTTGTTTAACAAATAAATCAGTTATATATTTTCGTATGTCTTTGTTAACTTGTCAACGATGTTCGTGTAGAATAACGATGCAATAAAGAAACTTAAGTTATACCTGCTTGATTTTAAAATAAAGTATTTGGGACACTTAGCAAGAGCATTCAATTTCTTGTGAATAAAAACGATGACGAAAATGGTTGGGCTTCTGGTGACATTGCAGTGATGGCTTCTGACTTTATTATAATACACAGCCAGTTTATGTGTTTGTTAGAGTTAAAA